CCAACCCCCTCCCCGATCAATTTTCTTTCACTCGTATCGCGATCATCGGCGCGCGAACCCCCCCAACCCCTCCCCTTGTCAACTGTATAAAATATTCTCAATCGTATCAACAATAGTCACATCGTACATCGTACAACGTTGTTACATTATTACAATAGTTTATAGTTAATCGTAATCAATATAATATTCACAGCATTTTATCAAAATCTCTTAAAAGCACCAACCGTGGCGGCTCAAATTTTCCCATTCGCCCTCTCGTAATCGTCTCGTTAATTCTTCTCGATAAAAATCCCGATCTTCTATCATCCGCTTCCGTAATTCATATCTTCTTTCTCTTGTTCTTTTTGTCCCCTTTGTTCACTCTCGCACCTCTCTATCACTCACGCTTTCTCTCTTTCACGCACTCGCACGCACACTCGCTCGCACACATATATATATATATATATACCTTCAATAATTTATCGATATATATATATACATGTATATATAATATATATATGTATATATAAGCTAAACGTTTCGTCTTAAAGCACTGATTAACCGAGGGAGCTCGTTTTAACGTGTCCCTCCCTCTGAACACGCGTTTACCAACCATCCTAACCAAAATCACAGGACTAACTAGAAACACCGCCGGCTTTTTGCCTCGTCGCTCAGTGGGATCGATTGACGCGAGGTATACACCCTTCGTGGAGACGAACGAAAGAACGACAGGAGTGACGAGGAACGACGAAAGGGAGAGATCGAGGGTTGAGGAACGATCGAGCGTCCCGCGAAAGCGACGTCGGTCGTTCGCGATGAGCAGGAGGCCGTAGTGGCTCCGTTCCGTCGAGAGAAGGACGCGTGAGATGATGAGAAGGAGAGACCGTGGCGGGAAAAGATTAAAGAAATGCGAGAAACAACGAGCGAACGAGAATGAGGCACTACTAGAACGGCTCGTGTCCGTGTTCCCGTTCCCGTTCCCGTTCCCGTCGTCCGACAGCGTTCTAGGTGTCGCGATGGCGACGTCGATTCCCCGACGGGGCTCCGTGCGGTCGATCATCCGCCTCTCCGGAGAATCCATCGTCGCGACGATCGATGGGTCAGCAACGGCGACGGCGTCGACGGGGCCGCGTCTACCGGACGCGGGGGAACAGAAACGTCGAAGGAGGTGTATTGTTCGGCGGTTGTTCCTCCGGCGGCGTTGAACGTGGCGGTTCTTCTTGCGCGGACCAAGGCGAACTCAATGATGCGGCGGTGGCGGCGGCGGGGCCTCTTCCTCGGAGGGATCCACGGGGCTCGGGGACAGGAACTTGCGCACATACTTCGGGTAATGTGTCTTTTCGTGGGCCTTCAGTATCGTCGACCTCGAGAAGGTCTTGCCGCACAACGTACACCGGAACGGACGTTCCCCGGTGTGCACCCGACAATGGTCCTTCATGTGGTGGCGCAACTTGAACGCCTTTCCACAGAACTCGCACTTGAAGGGTCTGTCGCCTGTGTGGGCCGGTAGGTGGGCTATCAGGGAGCCGACGTCCGGGAATGACTTGCCGCAGAACTTGCAGAGGACGACGCCCGAGGTCGGGTCCGAGTGGGCCGCGAGCTCGAGGTCCATCGGCTCGATCGTACCTGCTGTGGGGTAGTGGGCCTCCGGCGGCAGGTGCATACCGGGTTCGAGGCCCAGCTGAGCCTGCAGCTGCAGGTGGGCCGCCTGCTCACGGTACTTGAGCGTCTCGAGGCTGTGCGAGAGGATGTGCCGCGCCAGCTTGCTCTGGTGGAGGAACGAGGCACCGCAGTACATGCACGCAAACACCCGCTCATCCACACCCATCAACTCCTGCAACCAAACAAACAAGAACATCAACTTCTTGTCTTCCCTTTAGCTCGTCCTTACAACCCACAATAACGTTTCTCGCTCTCACTTTCATTCTCCCATTCTCTCACTCTCTCTCTCTCTCTCTCTCTCTCTCTCTCTCTCTCCCACGCTTGCTCACTTTTCTCTGTTCTACCATCTATCTATCTATCTATCTATTTATCTATCTATCTATCTTTCTATCTATTATTTTTCTTTTGTCCTTTTTGTTTCGTTTCTTTTTTTTTTTTTTTTTTGATTTTTTTATTCTTTGGTGCGTTTACTTTTGAAGTGATCGTTTCAAGCAGAAAGGAGATATTTCGTTCGCATACTCGTTTTCTCCGTGTCTTACGATACCGCGTATGCCGCGACACGTCTCGCCACTTCGCCGCGAGAAATCGCTCGTTTCGACACTACTCGACTCACAAGCGTACACAGGCACGCGTATATCGTTGTTTGTACACGCGTACGTATGCACGGGCCCGCGACGCGCCGGGCTTCAATCGACGCACGTAACCGCGCTGCTTGCTCGGAAAAAAGCGTCTCCTATTTCTTTTCTGCGTTCTCTCTGTTTCCATTGCCTCGCTTTGTTCTCGCACTCGTATCTGGCTACTGGTTTTCTCTCTTTCTAGGCGCCACTGTATGACTCGTCGATTAACGAAATAAATAAGTAAAAAAAAAAAAATATTAAAAAAAAAATTATTAACAAAGAAAGAACAGGCAAAGGCTCGTCGTCTCGAGACCACTACTTTCGTAAGAAGCGCGTCGTTTCGGTATGACCGGATGTTAACGCATGTACACGAGGTTCTCTCTTTCTTTCTTCCTCTGATTCATGAGCTCCTCTCCATTTTTGTGTTTTTTTTTTTTTGTTGTTGTTTTATTATTTTTATTTTTATTTTTGGTGGAAGAAGAAGTCCCTGGCCTGACGAGAAAGTGATATTCCTCTCGACGGCATGTAAGACGGTAGCACAAGAAGTTGACGCTCATTTTTGTTTGGCACGACGCGCACCCCCAGGTAAACATGTATGACAAGGAAATTGTCTGAGTGTGTGTGTCACCGTATATATACACACGTACGAGGCTCTTTATACGTGTCTATATATGTACGTATATATGTATCGGTCTGGATTAACGAGTGACACATGTACGGGCCCACGGCAACCCCCACAGCCTCGCTCAAGAACAACGAACAACAACCCACCCGCACCCTCGTCCCTCGTCCCTCCTCCCGTTGATTTTTAAAAAAATTTTTTTCTATTTTTCTTTTTCTTTTTCTTTTTTTAGTAATATATACGTATAATCGACTGCGGCCGACCGAGATCGCCGCGGTGCAAAAATTGATTCGCCGATAGCAAAAGGCATTGCAATCAACCAAAGAAAAAAACGACAAAATCGAAATACAAATATTACAAAAGTAACAAATGGTAATAATGAATGTCAATATAATCTGCAGTACGTATAACGATACATATATGTATATATATATATGTATGTCAATAATGAGTATATATATAAATATATATATGTATGTATGTGATGTATATTATACCAGTCATGTATAGAACAATATATATATATATATACACATATTGTGCGGGCATGTATACGCATGTATACACGCGCACATGTATATATACATATTTACGTATTTATATATATATATATATAAAAATGTAGTAAAAAACAACCATGGCCAAAAACGAAGGTCAACTTCTTGACAGTGAGCTAGCAAGACAGGCTGGCAGGATGGGATCAACGGGATTTCTGTTATTCGCCGGTTTTTCCAATCGATCGCTCGAACGGCCAGGGAAGAGAAAAAACTTGGAGGCGTCGTCACGGATCACGCATTTTCCGCGCGGTTCACCGCAGCCCCTCGAAGCACCAGGATGCGACCAGAAATCATGGAGGAGGAGTACGCCGGGGATTAACGGTCGCCGAGGAGCGTTTTAGACGAGCGAAGAAGGGATCGTTTGGACAGACTCGCGCGAATGATCTAGCGTTGGAGGTCGAGGATCGAGAGAAAGAGAGAAAGAGAGATAGAGAGAGAGAGAGAGCGAGGCTGGAGAGTCGCGCGAAAGATTTTGAACGGGTTACGGAAAGTGGGAGCAAAAGAAAGAGAGAGACAGAGACAGACAGATGAGAGGATGTATGCACCGAGCATGGAGAAGTGAATTAGTTCGGAAAAGAAGAGATAATACGTTCGTCAATAGTAGACGGCATGCACGATCGATCTCCGGGGCGCAGCGCGTCTCGACGAAGATCTGTATTTCCGCTGAAGCTAGAAACAAGCGGCTAGGTATCGAGTTTACGTACGGTCTCGGTCCTATCGCGTCGTTACGCGCGCGAAACGTCAACATCCGCTCGCGGAGACTTTAAAACACGGACTGAGAACCGCGGTGTCAAGGGTTACGCACTCTCGCGGGCACGTTCGTGAACGGTTCGCCCGCGAGCTTTTTGTTTCGCCAGGAATCGTCAACCGTGACGAAACGTTCCTCGAATCACACGGCAAGTCGAAAATCCCATTGCTTCAAGGGGAACGTGTTTCTCTCTGTCGTCGAACCTCCGATCACACACAACTCACGGCGAGGACAGCGATTTATTTGTTAATGACACGATCACTTTCAAATTAGCGGGGAGAGCAGCAAACAGCAAAGCACTTGGGCACGCATGCAATAGTCCCACATGCAAAGTGAACTCGAAATATAACGCATGCCTGTCTATCCATAAGCGCAGATAGATAGACAAGCAAAATAGACAGATATATAGATAATAGATATATATATGTATATATTTATATATATATAATAGATAGATAGATAAAATGGATCGTGTTATGTTCCTCCGAGGTATCGAAACCCGACTTTTTTTGTCACGGCTGCCCGTCGTTCGGTAAACGAGTAGCGCGCAAACGAACGATTTGTCGTAACCTCAGTACAACAAGATGCATCGAATATCCAACGAGTTTTGCAGGCGCTTGTTTTGCAAGAGCCGCATCAGCTCATCCGCAATCCGCGGTAATGCCGGCGTGTATATGCGATTGCAGATGAGTCGAGTGCGGGGGCATACTGGCGATAACCGTAATCGATATATAAATGCAGAGTAAAGAGAAAGTACGAGAATAAAAAGTAGTCAATAAATTGGAATGTATAGTGGTGGAAAGAGAGACACTCACCGGATCTGGCGGGAGTCTGTAGTCCGTGGATATTTCGCTGCTCGCGCTCCGATCCTCGGTCGACCTTTCCCAGTCCATCTCTTTTTTTAACGACTGCAAACGAACATCGGGCACACGTCAAAGTAATAATTGGATAGCCGTCGATGGTATCGGGAAAGTATGAACTTTCCTCGCAGATCGACGCACAGGAGTCATTAGCGCGAACGTTCTACCGAAACTTCAAATGCGATTAGCCTCCTAAATAATTCCAGCCAAAGTAAACAGTTGTCTCTAGTGCAACGTTCCCGATTTCAAGGAAACAAAACTTCGTTCCTTTTGTGTCGCGTTGACGAACGTTCAGGGATTTTAATAAAGCTGGCTGAATATTCAAATACTGAACATTTTGACTCTTTTTATCATTTTCATTAAAAGAATATTTGCAAGAATTGATAATCGATTCTGCGTCGAGTGTTCAGCACAACCCTTAATGAAAAAAATGGTCTACGCTTGGAGAAAGAATTAAATCATTGCAAAGGAACGCAGAGACGCGATAATTGTTTCGTAATTCAAACTCTCTGTAGTCTGTCCATTCAACCAAAAATACTATAAATATCCCAGGATGATAACAATGATGATACGTGCAATTAAAACTGAACGCTTTCTAGAGAGCATTGTGTTCTTCGGTAAAATGATTCTGGTCACCGAAGCTATAATTTTGGTTAAGAATTCGTGATAAGGGGCCTGACGTGACAGGAACGGTCAGACTATTAATCAGACTTTTCACTGCACAGTGGCCAGGCGGAGACGGGAACCATTCTCCTTAACTCGTGATATATTGCACGCTCGTTCTCTATAGCTTTGCGTGTTGACTATTTACATCTAGGACTTCTGTATATTTCTGTTAGTGAACGTGTAAACAAAGAATTAAACACTTATTACAAAAAAGAATTCGTGTTTTTCGTGACATAGTAATAGTAAAAGCCAAACAAGTCAAGATTTATTCGTACGTTCGAATACTTTTGTGACGTCCGAAAACTGTATGTTTACACTAAATTCCCTGTAAATTCTGCAAGTGGAGTTCCCCTAAAACCGGACGGCGCCTAGTACCGGACAATAGCGATATTTTTAACAACGTTGACTGCCAGACCAAACTTCTGAAATTGTCTACGAAAACGATACTCTTTTCTGGATAATTGGAAACTAGCATATCCGTAATTTGTCGTAGAACTTATTTTTACAGCCTCGTTAAAATTTAAGTGTCAAGAAAAAGAGAAACTGGAACAAGAGCAAGAAGATGTGAAAGTAAATAAATAAATTATTGACTAAGGAGAAAGAGAACAAAAAATTCGGGAAATAACTATCACAATAATACTATTTGATTTCTAATGTTGTTGAAGCCATACAATATTATATTTTTTTAATGATTTTAAAAAACCTTAACTGCCCGGTACAAGGGGAACTCCCCTATGTGTTTGTAATTTTACGTATACATTCTCGAGACTCCTATGTGACTTTACTTGCAATTTTACTTTGAGAACTTAAACCTAACGAGTGCATTCTATTTGTTACCGATGTAAATTGAAAGCGTTCGAATGCTTTCGTGAATTACTGTACGTAGCGTGACTAAGAAGGTAGTTTAGTTCCCTAGCCATCGAGTCGTCTATGGTGCCAGAAGCGATATAAAAGAAGAAAGGGTACTCACAAGTGGAACTTGCTGGACAGGAGGTAACCCCGACGGACCCGCTAGAGGTTCTGTACTGTGCGGGGACGGAAGCCGGCTCTGCGGTAAGTTCAAAGGTAACACACCGGGCGTACCGCCGGTATTGTTACTCAAACTCATATCCGACGGTCCGCTGTGCACCGAGATCGGACTGAGGGAACCCCTCGTTTCCTCTAGGCTCGCAGCATCTTCGGAGTCCCTCCTGGGTCGATCGAGGGCCAAGGGTCCTGGACAAGGGCTACCGGGTCCGGTGGGCGATGGCGGACAGTCCGTCATGTCTACCGCCTCGGTGGTCTCGCTGGTGGGTGGTTGGACTACGATTTGTTGGGGTTGCTCGCATTCTTTCACCCCTCCCGATGGCACCCCCGTGCCACCGGATGTATTTCCTTCCCTGTCTCTCTCTTTATTGCTCGCTTCCTTTATGCTTTCGCGTTCTCGGTGATGCTCTCGCGACGTTTCGCGCTGTATACCCTCGGATGCGCTCGTGTGTTGTTGTTGTTGTTGTTGTTGCTGTTGTTGTTGTTGCTGCTGCTGCTGCGGTTGCTGTTGTTGTTGCTGCTGCTGCTGCTGCTGTTGTTGTTGCGGTGGCTGTTGCTGTTCGTCCCTCGACGCTACCGCCGCGTTGATGTTCGTCATGTCCGCTAGACCCTTCACCTTAAGGCTCTCCGCAGTCTTGAGGAGGGCCGATAGCTGGCAGTACTCGACGTTTACCTCGCCTTTGTACATGAAGTCGACGAGTGTACGTAGCTCGGCGAAACGTACGTCCTTTAGGATGACTATGGGGTGGCGATTCGGGTGGTCGAGGAACAGGGCCTGGAAGTAGCTGGAGCACGCGGAGAGGACTACCTTGTGGGCACGTATCGAAGGTCCCTCCGTGCACGCCAATGTCACGTCCACCAGCGACTCCGACTCCAGCAGTTGACTGAACACACCCAGCAAGTTGCTCTGATGATTGTTCCACCTCAGGCAGTAATGCTCACTTCCCATGTCTGAACTGCACCCCGCAACCCTGCTGCAGAAGAAACATTTGTACCGGTTCGCGTTATTCTTCGCTCTTGTCATTCGTGTCAAATGTGTGTTTTTTTTTTTTTTCATCGTCGTGTAGGTTTTTTTTTACGCCACTCTTGTTGCCGAGACTGCTCACTGCTTCGCCGTTGAGGTTCTCGGGATCGGTGCGACGCCCGTGAGTTTTAATTTTTTTTTGGTTCGTCCGATACACGTCGGTGAGAGGTTGGAGGCGCTTGTTAATGGGAAGATCGGAGGAGAAGCGAATTAGGCGAACGGCGAAGGTTCTGACGGTGTGTACCCAATGTTATGGTCATTGAATCGACCAGCGTCGAAGAGTTCTGTGCAGAGTATCTGTGTTTCAGATACTGCAGCGACAGAAGTCTTAAAGGTTTTGTAAATTATAGTATTATTATCATATTATATTATAATAATTTGCTTTGTAATTTTCATCAAATTTAAATAGTGATTTCAAAGCTTTCCTGCAAAGCGATATTTTCTCGAAGGTATGTACTTACTATACACACCTCTCGTTCCGTAATAACAGAAGTAATTTCGCAAAAAAAAAGAAGCAACGATTTAACTGTATATTTTCGAACGTGAGAATTCCGTAGTACCTTTTGGTTTAATGCCTTAACGCATTAGCGTGAGAAATCGCGTGTCTACGCATGGCGGTCGAACATAAATCTAATATTGTTCGATTCCCCAGCTACCCGCGAAGTTGCATCAAAATCTGAATGCGACGCATCATGGAATTCCCTCGTCAAAACGGCGATAAAAAATATCGTAGTCATCGTGAGCATCCATCATTACTTTCGGTCGGAGTTAAGGATTATTAGAGTGAATCTCTTATTTAAATATTTATTTAAGCCAGCTATTTATTATATTATTATGTTATTTACGGCTTAAAATACGTCGTGATTTCTTAAATTTTGCATTTTTAACTTAATGAAAATTTCATGCAGTTTTGATTCGAGATGAATACAACGGGCTTATAACTCCGATGTTTATGAGTCTTTCAACTGATAAAAAATTGTTATACATATTCCAGTAGTGTGATAAAATACTCTGAAAATTTGAAAATAATTGCTACGCTGCTTTCTTTGCAATAAATTCTCGAACACTCGCGACGACACTTCTCGCGTTCGCCAGCAGAGGGCTACGCTCAACCTGTACTTCTCTCGCAAGTGCTCGACCAATTAAATGCTCTGGACCTCTTCCTACAACAGCACGCCGCCACAGACTAATGGACAAAATCGACTATTTCTGGTTTGGGATTAAAATTTCATTTCCATGTATCGTCCCCATGATTTATTATTCAAATACGAATTTTCCCAACCCTGTCCTCCCGTGTCGGCCCAGAGTAATCCCGGTGCCATTACGCAACGACGCGCCTAATCGCGTATAGGCTCGTCGGCGCGCATAAATTACCGCCTCGCAGCGTTTTCCAGCGTGGGTTGTCTCCCGCATGAACGCGAACAGCGCGAAAAAGAACACGGAACTGCGGATGTCTAAATTGGAATTCCTTGTCCGCCGGTGGAAAACCGTACGTTCGGACCCTTGGCCGGCGCTATCACAATTTCCTCCGCCATAAATCAGCGTCCGCGGAAGCGCGAAGCGGCGCGGCGGCGCTCGCCCCGAGACTCGCGATTTATTCGATGCGGTGCATCGCGAGTTTCTTAAGCCTCGGCCGCGGCGGTCATCGTTTAATTCCGGGCCACGGAACACGCGTACGGAAGATGCACGACCGATAGTAGTCGGCTGACGATATCGTCGCTTATCTTTACTCGTATTTATTGCCCGCGTCCGATGCGTGAATGGCGCGCGCACGCACGTGTCGCGACCATCGGGGTTGTTGCATTATGGTTTTCGAGGCTGGGGAATCATCTGGAAGTCCTCTCGATAAGAGAATCGCGAAACAATGGAATCTTCAATATTTCAAGTTCCAGTAACTCCTTTCAATTACATTGCTACATTTCTTTTATAATTATTACAAAAATGATTGACGCAATATAAAATTAACTGTGTTTTTTTTATGATTAACCTTGACATTTAGTACGACTAGAATTACTTTAAAATTGAAAATTGAGGTTTTAAATTTGCTAGTATGCTTTCATTTTTGGAATATAATTACTAATTTGTACTAATTTGTGCGAGAGTGTACTTCCATAAATTGGTAGGGACGTACCAACGTACTCACGATAAGTCTATTGTCGCGTCTGCTCAAGGTACGGTAAATCCTTTCATTGTGTCGTTGGATTGTGACCGGAACGGTGACACAATGAAAGGGCGAACAACGAAACTCTATCGCTTCTTATCTCCCCTCGACGCGAGACCCGCTCGCGTGTGTATACGTTGGGATCAAGAACGAGAATAGTAGGAACGATTGAGAAACAGCGAAAACGAGTCAGATACAGTCAATACTTGATCGTTGGTAACTCATTAGTAACCTGAGACACCCTCGATCGCGTGTTGGAGATAACGACGAGGCTCGCTCGAGCAGCTCCAAGCACTGATGGGGATAACTTTGTGACGCAATCAAAGAATTTATTATACTTAGTCTCGCTTCACTGCGGTTTTGGGAAGTCATCGCGAAAGGGTTGGTTTCTATATTTAAGTCGCCTCGAACGATTCAAAAGAATTCAGGAAAATCACGTCTCGCTTTTACTCGCTTTCCAATGCTTTGCTTTCTAAATAACGATGTTCGAATACTGTTTGCGCGGCGCGTCTGTCCATTGCTTACCGTTTCTACTTGTTCTCCATTGCACTGTTCTTTACGCAAGAACGTAAACAATCGTTAAAGAAAGTAGATACTCTGCTGTTCACACAAGGGTTAAAACAAGATTTAACATATTCACTGCTAGATCGAAATTATACAACATTCTGCAAGACTAAAATTTTGATTTTAGACCATTGTAAGCTACATAACCTAAAATTTGTTTCAGTAGTGATTTTTGTAACCTTGCTAAAATTCACTTCTCTCAGTGTCTCAATTTGAGAATTAATTTTCCTAGTTCCGTAGTGGAAAATCCTGTCACCCATATGTGAATATATGAATATATGCATATGAAACTGTGTCACTTCCCGCACTCGCCAGCAGAGGGCTACGCTCAACCTGTACCTTTCTCGCAAGTACTCGACCAAGCATTGAATGTCTAATGCAGGGGTTGTCTTATTGATGAGTCCCACTAACAGGCCCATGACGAAAAATACTATTTACTACTTTCTTCAATAGCAAGTTGCCCACAAAACAAATTGAGAATAATTTATCAATTTGCTACTCGAAGAAACAAGGCCCAACGAAGGCCAAGGCCCCTAACCACCCTTTTAGTCGAGCCTGGGGGCCATGTCCGGCCGCGGAAACGCAACCGAACTGCACGCGTAATTATCCTCGCCGACGAAGCCCCGAGCAGACGTGTGTTCGTTCGATGTGTCCGCGGATACGCGCGATGGCGTGCACGAGGGCCGCGCGATGCTCGCGTGATTCGTTCGAGCCCCGTGATAACGCGACCGTACGTGATAATACCCGGGACGTATCGTAATAATAAAGAGAAAATAACGTTTTTACGTGGACCAAATTGCCGTGGGATCGTTAACGGCCGTTGATCGTTTGAATAATTCCCTCGTACGTCCGTCACCCTCGATAATCCGTCTCTGGCGTCGCGAACCGATGCGGCTGGGCGGCAACGGGATCATTTTCTCGAAAATTCCCGTGATCTACACTTTACTCTGCTTATGCACGGCCTAATAGATTCAAGATAGCGGGGTATTACGCTGGACTCGCGATTCGAGCGAATTATGTTTGCAGACCGATGAGACTGGGGAACCTTGTGCCTTATGGGGACCACGAACGCGAAGATTCGTCGTACGATAACATGTAGAATTTTTAGATCAACGTTTTAATTATTCTTTCGACTGTTCAGGGTTCTATTTTAATTAAATATAATAATTCCCTTTTTATAATTAACTCATAACCTGTATCGATAGAAGAGGAATAAAAATAGATAGGAAAATGTAAATCATTGGAAGAAAAGGTGCAAAATATTCGCGTCGAGTCACATAAATGACAGCTTAAACAGTAGATACCTTTGTCCTGTTTTTTTTTATTAAATCTATTGGAAAAGGATATTCGTTATTGTAGATCGTGGGATTATATAAAAAGTGAACAAGCTTTTCAATTGGTGGTTTGATCTGTGCATAGAAACGAGCTTTTAGATCTAATGGAATAATGGATAGCAAATATTTTCCGCGCGACCTAACAAGCATCATGGTGCAACGATCGAGTATTCTTCGCGAATTGTGTCAAAAACTGCGCGGAACCTCCGTACGGAATATTTCTCGTGTGTTCGTAAAACTTTTGCGTTTTAATTAGAGCTTGCAGCTAAAATTTGCATTTACGGAGTATCTACTTCACAAACTTTGCCCGCGTGAAGTTGTTCGAGAAATGCTTGCACGTGCAGAGCACCGCGTGAGGGAAAAATGATGATGTCGCTAATTTAAGAATAGCATCGAGGAGCGATTAATGACACCAGTATGATCTCTTTGTATTCGACATTTCTACGAATGTTAAACAAAATCTTAAAATTTACGTTCGATTTGGGTATAGAAAATACATTCAAACGATATAAACACTTGTTTCCTTTTTTGGAAACAAAGTTTAATACGATAAGTTTATAACGGATAAGTGTGCAAGAGCCGTGGAAATTTATTTTGGAAGCAATTGTTCGGTTATTGCTACTCGGAGAAAATTTCGGTGTGGTTTTAACACTCCAAACGCTCCGTTTGCACACTGCATCGATTGCTAAATTTAGAGAAGCAGGATCAACTGGTGATTCTAAGCGAAGTGGTAGACCACGATCCGTCGAAGTAACACTTCAATCGTGCGAGCAAGAGAGCCTACGTAAATCTCTTGAAACTTCGACCCGAAAACGCAGTCAACAATGAAGGATTTCGTGATCGCCATTAGTAATTAAGGAAGAATTTTGAAAAGGAGTTAGTTCTGTTTCC